ATCCAAGTTGAACAACATATTGTGAGTATGTACCCAATGCATTAGCGCCCTCCCTTCCTCTCACTCTCCTGAGGTTCGGGTTCAACTAGCCAGCTCAGACAAGTCAAAATATTTTAAGGTCCTGGCCCATCCACCCCAACCAGGGATAGCACGGATGGCTGCCTGGCTGTACCAGACTTGACCCAGGGATGGCGAGGCCGCAGGGAGGAGCTTCCCGCCCTGAGGCCCCGCCTTCCGGCAGCCCCGGCAGGAAAGCGCCGGCGGCAACGGGTCTCCGAAGCCGAATGGTGGAAATCCCCAGCTCGGTGCAGGGGGGTGGGAACCGGCTGGCACTCCTGCTCCCTGCTGAGGCCCAGGCGCCCGGGCGCGCGCGGGGTTGGGTGGAGGGTCCGGGAGTATGCGCACCTGTGGCCCTGTCGGCCACCCCGCCAGGCTCTCTGCTTACTCTCGCAGTCCAAAGAGGCTTCCTTCCTCGCCATCTCCCTCCTTGGGGTGTGGGTATTTGTTTTAACCCAACCGGGTCAGTGAATAGCACCCTTGTCTGGTGCTTTCCTCTTTTTTCCCTCTAGGCCTGGTCCTTGAGCGGCTCATTCCAGGATTCCTTTATTTTTGGATCTCAAAAAACACACCAGCTTTTGCCGAGGACAGCGCTGGGCTCCCCCGGTGCCCTGGCACGCTGGCAAGGAGAGGAAGCCGGGAGGAGGCAGGAACCAGACGCGACTCCCCCAGCCGTTCTTTCTCTCCCCGTTCCCCGCCCCTCCAGGAAGAAAGCAGTCAGAGATCTGATCGCTTGCTGCAGCCACTGTGCCAGCACCAACCACTACGCCTGCCCTCCTTTTCCTCCCACCCATTTTGCACAGTGCGCCCGGCCGCCCGCGCGCCCCAGGCTGGGCAGGTCCTGGCGGGCGGCGCAGGCTCCCTCCGCGGGGCTTCTCAGCGAATCGCGTTGTTCTAGGACTTCACGCTGGAGTGGCTCTTGCGTAACCCTATGCCCTGGCCTAAGTTAATACTTTTTTTTTTTTTTTTTAATATCAGGATTAATCCTTATGGAAAGGCAAATACTTCCGCCACGGAACCAGCCTGGGGAGTCAATGTGTAAATCACCTCGCTGTCTCGATTCCCCTCCCTCCACAGCCCCTTTGCGCGTTTCTGCAGGCCCAGAGCTCAGGCCGCACCCCTGGGGTTCCTGGCACGCGAGGGTCCGGGGCCTGGCAGAGCCAAAGGACGGCCCAAACCAGGCGTTTGTTTTCACCTACTCCGAGGCGGCTCTTGCAGGCCGAAGAACCGGGTCCTGCTTACCGCGGTGCTGAGTGTTACCAAAAAAGGCCTTTCTCTTGCCAAAGCGCTTGGCGGCGCGCGCTGCAGCGGGGTGACGCGAGGTTCAGCCGGGGCCTCCTCCTCGAAGGCTGAGCCAGTCGGCTGCAGGGATGCCAGGCCAAGAGCACCCCCGGCCCGTCTCTGCCTCAGAACGGCAGCGGGGGCAGGGACGGGAGGGAGACTGCGGAGAGCTTCGAAGTGCGTAGGTGCCTTGCGACTTTCTCACCCCTAATGTTGGGCTGTGGCGCTCCAGAAAGGCTAAGTGGAAAGTTGACCTTTTGCTCCAGTTTAGAGTGCAGCAGAAGGTATCTGAGGGTACCAGCTCGGATAGCAAGCTGTGGGGAGACAGTGGCAGTAGGAACTTTGGGAAGGCAGTGTGGGCGTTTCGTGCCCGGCTCTGCTAGTCTCTCAGACTCTCTTCCCCCGACTCCCCTTCCCCAGAGTTCCCTACACCTGGTGTCTTAAGTTGAGCGCACCCTCCCCCCCCCCTCAGTTTCTTCCCACCCACTGTGGTCACAGTATTTTCCCATGAGGTTTTTCTTCGGGGGAAAATCACACTCCAAAATACTGGAGTTTTTGCCTCTCACAATCTCTGACACATCCCCAAACAGGGCTCAAACGGTTAAGGAGCAATTTATCAACATAAACGATAGCCATTCTTTAAGGGGGGGAGGATATGGAGAGAGTTGTGCTTTTTAAATAAAAGAATTATGAGAGTGTACTGGAAGTCTGTTTAAATGCAGGTTGATTTCTAACTCAGTGTATCTTAAGACACCCTGGCATGTATGTGTGTGTGTGTGTGTGTGTATATATATATATATATATATATATATATATATATCTTCTGC